TCCACGACAAATGCAATTGCAGCGATAGCCGTAATAATGCTGATAACAATAATTAGCGATCTCCCGTGACGCAATTCGTTATTTACACATTTACATAGGTCAGCGCGTATTTCAAAAGCATCCATTGATTTTCGAATTTATTGAAAGTTTTCTCTAATTTGCTTCATTCGGAACTCTCTAATTTCAATCTTATTATATTTACCAAGAATGACGGAAGATCAATGTTTTTTCAGAGATACATTTTAACACACAATTGCTCACTTTTAAAACCTTGTTAGTCCTTAAAAAATATTTTGTCTTGCGCATCTAGGCGATTTGCTCGAAGACGATTACGATTCAATAAAAATCTGCGGAATCTATAGAACGAGAAAGTTTAGACAGCAACACGTGAGAATGGCACATTTGATAAAAACAGCGAAATTACGCGCCATTATCCAAACCTTGCGAAATGACATTTGATTTTTTAACGATACGAGATCTGCCAATGAAAGTACACAGATTTCACTTTTCCTCCTTCGATCGAGGTATAGTAAGACTATACGCGACAACGGTAAAAGCTTTCGTGAATTTCATATTCATAAGCTGAAGTAGCAGTGAGTGATCTAGTGAGTTACGTGACCAATAATGCGCCGCTTACGCGGAGTCGTTGCAAGACCTGTCACACACGCTCGCTTCTGCTCCCATCGCGTTAATTGCAGAGTTTTTTCATTCAACAACACAACTTAAGTCGCTTGACTAACTTGACTTAGCCCTTTGCGCTCAAATGTTGACTTACAGAAATTGCACCGACATGCCCAGTGTACGACACTCGCATGTCCAGTATTACTGAGCAAATCCCCATGTCATTTGTATACGCATGGGGCAAGTTTTAACTGTGACATCTTGAGTAAGAAACCAATGAATTTGCGCCATTCTTATTCATGTTACTATAGCAAACCGTAATGTTTGCTGCTATTAAAATCAGTTTTGATCATTAATTTATGGTGTGGAATTTTTTTTAATTGTCATATATTGAAATATTTAATGATGTAATAGCGTCAATTGATGCAATGGAATCAATTAGTGCGTTTTCTAATGCAGACAAACGCACAAAGCGCATCATTTATATGTTATAAGTATATTTTATGCAGTAATTGCCAGAATATTGTTTCAACGATTCAAAGAATCGAGATAAATAATAATCATCATTCGGAATTCACGAATCGCGATTTTACGCACTTGGCAATACATTCAATTAGTGCCAAAAATTAATTCAACTTAATTTCAATCAAATTAATTAATTTTACATTATAATATACCTCTTTGAGAATATTTACATTTCTACAAACAATATATACAACATCGTGCTACTTGCCCACGAACCTAAATAAATCCTTTCGCGAAAAATAGAATCTCTTATAAACAGTATCTTACCGTCTGCAATACGAAAACGTGTGTGACAGTCGAAAAGTATGCTTTCGAAATACATAATGCGTAGTATCACGTTTGTCTAGCTCGCTTATTCTCTCTATCTCTCTTACCCTCTCATCTCTTTTTCACTTACTCTTTTATACTCTATTATATGTATACCTAAAGCGCACTTTAAACAATCTACAATTTGCGGCAGAGTTCAGGACAGAATTCCTTGTGCCGCGCAATAATAGAAAGCACTTTTCAAAATATACAGAAAAATTCAAAATATGTAGGATACATATCAGAATGCACGGCACACACAAAATCACAAACGGAATTGTGCTCTGAATTCTCTCGCGTATTATATAACGTCTAAAGTGGGCTTAATATAACGTGTATCGATAAAGATTCCATTTATATATATATTTATATATCTATATATAATTACATGTATATACCTCTCTTTAACATATAATATTGTACATCATACGTATTACGATATATACGGCTATCTACAGATATTATACAAAAGCGCGGGGCGTTTCCCGCGCGACATTCTTAAACGAATTTATTATTTATCAGCGCTCGCCATTCGATGCACGCGCGCGAGCGCGCGCGTTCGTATACCTCGTGAATGCATGTCGCGTCCGTGTGGACACAGATGTATGAATTGCGCGGGTTATGCGATCGCTGGTGCTCGAATATAACATATTTATACGCGCTCACGCGCGACGAGTACGTTAATTTATATTTATTTTTCACGTATAGTATCACAAGTTTCGCTCGTCCGACATCGCTCTCACTTTTTAGCTGGCACTGCTTTTCGAGGCTTACGCCGTCCCTTTACGCTGCAACAACCCTCCTCGACAGGGTTCGCTCGCCTTTAATATTAATCGAGTGTCTCAAAGTACCGATCGGTTCATCGCCGCAGGGTCTGCGTGCAATCGTAACAAGTCTCGTGATGAACAAGTCTCGTGAACAAATTTTGATCAATTGTCTTTAAACGATGCTTTTAACGGTGTTACTGAATATGAAATGCACAAGTGTTGAGTATAATGAAAACTTAAATTCAAACTCGAACCAAATTCGAAAAAAAAGAGAAAGAACTATTATTATTACGTGATATTAATATTTTACTTTTTTTTTTTTATTTCAGAATGTTTCACCCAACTCAATCATTTGAAATACCTTGAAATATTAAAAAATAGAATAAAATATTTCAGATATAAATTTATGTCATAATTTTACCGATTGTCAATATTAATATTGCCTATTGGTAATATTATGATATAAATTTGTATCTGAAACATTATATTTGGAAATATTGAAATATTTCTTTACTATTTTCATCTTTTAAGCAAATACTCTTATTAAAACAATCAGTGATTCAAAGTTATTTCTAAAAAAGCTAATTATTCGTGTAACAGATATATTGTAGCACCTCTCTCGCGATTCTTACGTACATAGTAGTATTCTTACGTACATTTAACCCAAAACATTACCGTGCATCCTTTGAATAATAAAATTTTTAATTAAATTAATTTGTGAAACATTATTTGCATTTTTAATAACAAAAAGATATTTGAGGTGCTACAAATTAGGTCAAACATACTTGTACGAATCATGATAATAAAATAATTACAATGTATAGGAAAATTCAAATAATTCATAGTCACATTACATTTTGTTAAAAACGTACGAATAGAAAAATAATATATAATCTAAAATAAAAAATTGCCCATTGCTATCGTTGCGTTTGACTGAACATTGAAAACAATATAAAATAGATCCATTGGATTCGTAATCGCCGATACAGACATGTGAGAATTGTTAGTTTTATTTTGCAGTAGAGACTTAATAATTATTAATAATCACGATAAATAAGATATGCGAATCAACGCGACAATAATTAGAGAATGATAAGCGATGCCTAAAGTGCAGAAAAATTGAGATCAATGATCGAATTAATAGATATTCATCGTTGATGTCAATGATAATTTCGAAGAAACCTCTGCTATCAGCACATAGTATCTGCGTCTCGGAATCGATATCATTCTGTGATCATGACAAACTCACAAAATCGACACTAACATGCATAGGGCAATATTATAGTTCATGAGGACTTTTGATAATAGTCAGTTATCTGTATATAAGCGACGTTGCCACTGAATGAAACGAAAAATATTTTTGCTTGTCGCGATAAAAAAGGAAAACAACGACTAATAACAAGAAGTCGATACTATTTGTGATCTACTAATTTATAACTACCGATACGAAAAAAATAGATAATTATTATTAAATATAGATGTGTTAGAAAAAAATCTGTGGATATGTCGTTTACAGCAAAAGTGATAATCGTCAATAAATTTTCAAGTATGCGTCGTGTTATTACGTAATCTAAGTATGATGATACGCAAGAAATAGAACACATCGAGACGTATTGCGTCTGTCGCATAAAAATGAATCGCTGTCACTCGAGAGTATCGCGAAAAATTCTCATGCGATTCAACAAAATCGTGCGATTATCAAATGTTCGGTGTATGATAAACGCGAGAATACGGAATGCAGTATGATTCAGTGCACTTGAGCACTTTTCTCGAACGTCTTTTTCTAATGTATATACCAGATAAATTCAACGGATGACGATAACATTCCAAATAAGTAACAGACATTCACAAATAGGGGAAAGAGTCGAAACGCGTCATCTTTTCTCATAAGACGCCTGGAATTACAAAATGTTAATAAACGATATAAGATTCTTTTCATAATTTTATATGTTGTGTGATCTCGTTCTTTAAATGTTTTTTCTATTGCATACTAAAATTAATGGAAAAAGTTCTGTTATAAATTATAAATTATTTAAAGTACTTAAAATTTTTCTATACGACAGAACTTATATAATCTTCGAACTTATATATCGTCGAAGCAAGAAAAATTCAATCGAATAAAGTCAATAAATTTCACTAGAATTTAAAGAACCGAAAAATATGCATTGAAAGATATCCATTCACAGAATACAAATTATAAATAGAATTGTGTTCCGAATTCTGATTTAAAGATCATCTAAAATAGGCTTTAATCTCCTTTATCAATGCCGTTGTTTGCAATTGTACTTGAAACGATGCTTGCCAAGTAATTGTCAGTTGAGTGACACATATACAATAACGGATATAAGTTTAAGACAAGCAGATATAATCGTACGCAGATATTTGTAAATATTATTTTCCTATTCGCACGCGCTTTGCATTCTCGGTTTGACACATGGGCATGTGACCTAGCAAATTTTCGGGATGTGAACACTGTTTTCCTTTCTTATAGGCGTTTTTTAAAACTATGATCAATATTATCCTTTATCGCTGTAAATTTCCATATTAATTGAGGCGATAAATGTTAAGCAAATCTTTTCATGCATATTTTGTCAATACAAATTTACTTTCCTTGAAATACAATATTTATATGAAGAAAATTAATTTTTATATATCTCTTCAATTACGTAAAGACGCGTAAAAACAATCTTAAACACAATTTATAATAATTATATAAATTGATTGATTTGCTTTAGCTTAAAATTTTTTGAGCGTATAATAATTAATATATATATATATATATATATATATATTTGTGACAATCAAAGTATCGAGAATGATATAAATCTAAACAAAAAAATATAAAATAAAGAATAGAATATATACGTAATAAGAAATGTAAAAAAAAGTTTTATAGATATAATTCGTCGATTATTATGTAACAATTGCTAGTAAAACGATCGCATATACTCAACACTGTGTGCAACAAACTAAGACGATATTTCCGAGACGATGAACCGTAACCGAGCCGAAATATCCGATCGAAGCCTACCTCCCCGCAGCCGTTTACTGTCTATAGACGACATTCTCTTCCTCCTCGTCCTCGTTCTCGTCGTCGTACTCATCGTCGTCGTCGGGCGGCCAACAGACGACGGCGTCGACGACGTCGTCGTCGGTACGACGGCCGCGTCGGCGTGGCTGCGTTCGCGGCGACGATGAGAAAGTCGACGAGGCCGCAGGTGATGATGTCGGCACCGCGGTTGTCGCGGTCGCCGTGCAGGTAGCAGGCAAATCCAACGTCGGCGGTGGCATCGGTGCGGCGGCGGTAGCGGCATATGCCGCGGCAGCAGCGACTCAGGCCAAAGCGTAAGGATGCGTAGCGTGATGTCACAAGCCCGGCGTCGCGGTAGCGACCGCGGACGGCGGAGGAGCGCTCGTGGTAGCCACGCTGGCGGTGTGATAGAGCGTGCTCTGATAATACTCCTGATGATGATGATTCGTCATGTGCATAGGTCCGGCGGCGTTCGTGCCGGCGTGCATGCCGTTGTGATGATGATGATGGCTGGGCGGCGCCGAGTGCGCGTGCGGATGATGCGGCGAGCCAAAGTTGGCGTAACTCTGATGCAGCTCGTACATCTTCATCTCGGGCGGCTTGGTGTCCTGAGCGCCCGGAGACGCGCCAGCGGTGTCGCGCGGTAATAACCTGTTGATGCTGAACGGATGACTGGCCGCCGGATACATCGGTTCTTGCTTCAGGCTACCTGTCATACCGTGATGCAAACTCGTGGTGTCGGACAGCAAGCTATGCGGATGCAGGCTGCTCCTCACCATGGCGGTAAGCTCGTCGTGTGTGGCGCCGAGATCGGAGCCCAGGAGGCCGCCGATATCGGCGTCGCTCTTCAGTGCGGCGTGATGCTGATGTAGACCTGCCGTGTGATGGTGATGATGCGAGGTCACCAGCGAGTGCAAGTCCTTGTCGTCCTGCTGCTGAGGACCGCCATGGTGGATGGACGAGCCGGTCTTCTTGGAACCGGGCGCGCCTTCGTGAGTGGGTGGACTATGCTGACCGGCGATGGTCGCGCCTGCTGCTGCCGCCACCGCCACCGCTGTCGCCTGATGCTGCTGATGCTGCTGATGCTTCGTTAGTCTGCCTTGTGAGCTCCTTTTCTCGTCCTTAAACCTCTTTTGGCGCCGTAGATAGCAACCATTCTCGAACATATTACCGCTGTCCGGATGTAGCGTCCAGAAGGAGCCCTTGCCAGGCTTGTCCGGCGTACGCGGCACCTTAACGAAGCAATCGTTGAAGCTAAGAGAATGCCTAATCGAGTTCTGCCAGCGCTGCTGATTCTGTCTGTAGAACGGGAATAAATCCATAATGAACTGATAGATCTCCGAGAGGGTCAGCATCTTGTGCGGTGCGTTCTGTATTGCCATAGTGATCAGGCTTATGTAAGAATACGGTGGCTTCGCGTGCGTGTAACTACGTCGGTACGACTTGTCGCTTCGCGCGCGTTGTAGCGCCGAATTCGGCGAGTCCGGCTCCGTCAACGACAAAGGATCGCGGGTGACGCCGGTACCGCCGCCGGGCGTCAACGGGCCGTATCCGACGGCGCTCATACATGCGCCACTTGCACCCATGGAAGCGCCGCTGTAACCACTCATACCACCGCCACCCATCGACGCCATGGTCATCGCCGAGCTCATAGTGCTCATGTTGAAGCCGCCGGCGCCCTGCGGGCTGCAGCTGGGTCCGACTCCGACGCCCATCGACATACCCATCGGCATGCAGCTCATCGAGTTTATCGAGCTGTACGTGGGCGCCATGCTGCCCATACTGGACATCGCAGCACTGGTCATGGCACCCGCGTCACCGTACAGCTTCTGCGACTGTATCATTGTCATAGAGCTCATCGTAGTGGCCTGCTGCCGCGTCGTCGCTGTCAAGCGGGTATCATGAAAACCGCGGTACCACGGCTGCTGGCAGTCAGGTATTCCCTTAATCTTCTCACCGGACGAATCCGGGCAATATTCGAGTTAACGTTTTGCGCTCCTGGCTCGCGGAGCGACCCCGTCAATCTTCCGCCGTCGGATCACGAATCACAGAGGTTTCGCGAATTGTACGCACAGAACTGGAGACGTTGCGTAGCCGCCTAAAGGTCTAAGGATTCGCGTCGCACTTGAGTTTCACTAGAAAAAAAAAAACTTCACCAGCACACACTGTGTGAGTGGAGCGACGGAGATGATGCGAGGAAACTGAAGACACTGTCCTCTTCCTCCCAGGAACACAATGCACAGTCCGTTTGTTCGCGGGTAGGCGCGCACTCGATGCGTACGATGCGAACGACGAGAGGAAACGCGAGCGCGAGAAGAAGGTACACCCCCGTGGGAGTTAGGGGATAATTGTTACCCCAACACCATGAGGGCACGACGAACGCGACGATGGCAACGGGCAAGGACGTTCGGTCTCTCGCGTGCTTTAACGACGTGAACGAGTGCGCGAAACAACACCAACCACTACGGTGACGGCTGCTCTCGTCGAGACCGCGCGCGCGGTCAGTTATTTGATCGAGCGGGGCCCTGTTTGTGAGAGAGCCGCCTCACCACCTCTCACCGCACACTCCGCCTCGTACCAACGGGTCTCTCTCTCCTCTCTCTGTATGCCGTGTTGTGGATGGAGGCCGGTTAGCGAGTGTACTCCGCTACTCTTGAGTCGGCCGGTCTTGTTCAAACATGCCCCACCACCAGTCGCCGGTGCCGCGCCCGACGCAGCCCGATTTACCAATCGCGCCGAGCGTTCCTCCGGCCGTATCACGTCCGACCAATCGAATGGCGGTGTCGGTGTGGCCTCGACCGACCTTTGAATCGCACGTCGTCGGATCGTGTGCGGCGCCACGGCCTCTTCCCCGTCGACGCCGTGCACGACGGTGGGAATAAACCGTACAGGGCGCATGCACTGTGGCCCGCGCGCGCGGAAGACCGATCCCGTTGGAGCCAAACTGGCTTGCGCAATTCCACGTGAGACGCCTGGATCCGCGACGCACCGAGCTGCGTCGCGGCGCAACCGTCGCTGCTCCTCTTTCATGTCATGTCAGCTGTCGTCTGCCACGCGTTTGACAACCGGCACCTCCGTGCGTGCGTGCGTACGTGATGCGGCCTACGCATTTCCCGTCGCGAATCATCCGCCGTGGATCGCGCGCGTATTTTCGGCGTTTTCATCATTTCGTCTCGTTCAATTCATAATAGAAATTGTTTTTGTTTTTTTCTCACGATGAACTGAATCGGAATTGCCTTGCAGTAATGCATGAATCAAAGTCGGAATATTAATTAACGGTTTCCTTAATTTCACCCACGGATAGATCGAACGCGAGCGAGGTGAACTATTCTTGATGGTGTCCGACGGAAAACGCGGAAAGTACACTCGCATGACCGGCCGCTGAGGACAGCAAGATCGAAAATTCGGACTACAACGTTCATAGGTACAATATCATTTGCATGTCCTAATTGTGTATTGCTGTCGTAAATCAGTCGTGCTATCGTTTATCTATTATTAGATCTTATGCTTTACATTTTATGTTTTAAAAGAAATTATATACCCTACTCTTTTCACTTGTAAAATATATGTGTGATAATTATAAAAAAGAATCAACACATACTTTCAGCGATTATAATAGAAAAGGCTTAGATAAGATTGGATCCTTGTTAATAAAACTATAATCAATGCTTTCATATTACATAAATGTTTGTGAGAAATCAACGGTTGAGCATTAAAGATAATGCATTTTTTCATTTGATTATATATGATTATTGCACTTTTTATAAAATAATACGCGTATTCTTAGTTATCACGCACGCGTGATTATATTGAAAACTTTGCATGCTAGCTTTCGAATTAATATTTCTGACGCATTATTCCATTTTTATCTTATTTAATATCTAAATTGTTATATTGCTCGCTCGCACAACGCAATGTAACAAACGTATAGTAAATCATAAACTTAGTAAATCAGTTTTTAAGTATTTAAAGTTGAACGTGTCATCCTCGCAGGAAATAGCGACTTTGATTGCCATCAGAAAGTTAAAATACAAGTTTGTTCGAATGAACGCCACTTTATACCACTTAATATCACAATTTAAATAACTTCTAATACATATTTTTAAAAACCCTTCTTGTCGTGACATAGAAATTAGAATTTTGTAATCCCATTTATTTTTCGAGTGGATGTCTTTCGATCTCTCTGTCATTTGACGATAAAGTATATACAGAGTGTCCAGATATGAAAGAAAAAAACACGCTGATATACCTGTATCTACCCACAATCTCTACCCACGAATTCATTTGAATTCCCATTGATGTCATCAAAATTGTCCTCATATTTGCGCGAGTTACCTTTTATTTCGCGTAAATGCAATCGCATGCAACTTAATACATACATAATAGGTATTTTTACGTATAAATCATGCCTGTGGGCTTATCATCTATTTTCGAGCTTGCATTTTCGAATTTTCTGTTTTTCCGACGTGAATGTAGAATACTTTATTCAAAGAGTTTGTTATCAGTTTCGATAAAATTTCGCGTCATAAATAACCTAGGGATCTAGGTACAGATAAGCATTTGACACATATATCCGATCGAAATGTAAAATCTCACGTTCTGTTACATTCAAGAAAATATGTTGATTCGTCGAAGAAAGATCGAAATTATTCGCTAAAACTGTTATTAATATTATTTATCGAGATTTGTATCAGATCTATCAATGAAGAATAAAGTTTTGTTTATTTCAATTCAGTTTTTGGATTCAGCAAGTACGGTAAATATTGAAATCTTGCAAAGTTAAAACTCTAAAACTCTTTGTAAACATCATAACGCATTGGTAAAGTAATATTTAATAGAAATCTATGCTAATCAATAATGAAAGAAAATATACTGTCAATAAATGTCAATCTAGAAGTCAAAATTTATTTTAATTCTATATAAATCTATAAATATTTTAGATTATAATGACAGAGTACATAAAATAATCTCATTTCCTTTATCAAATACATAAAGATATCTTCTTTAATATACGATTTCCACATACCTATGTAAAAACGTGAGAGATTATACTTTATTTGTCGTCTTAGATACACATAAAAGTCGCGGCTGTTTTCATCATAGCACCGATAAGAAATAGATTGAAAAATCTATCATACATGAAATATTTACTCACAATACTAAAAATCAAGTCCAATCGAGAGAATTTTATTCATTCCTTTAAATACTTGGTTTTTTTAAACTTATTCAAGCGGAGCAAAAATGATTCTCGGTGTCATTACACTCACATCGATTATAAAATGCATAATTAATGCAAAATAATTAAATTTACCTATTGAAATTCTATTCATCTTTCTCTCTAGATGTATTCCTTTTTAATCCGAACTACAACGATTATACCGCTAATTAATTTCAAGTTCGTTTTTAAACATTAATAAAAATATATAAATATCAAAATATTATTGTTGTAGATATCGAATATTTGAGAAGTTGCAACATTTTATATCAACATATCTGTCCACAAAGTAGCATGAACAGCAAACGATACAAATTGCAACGTGCATTATGTTAAGAGCTACTAAAAAAGCGTTTACGGCAACGAATAGCAGCGTCATTTTACTGATCGATCCCGTCGGCATCCTCCAACATGGCGTCGATTGGCCGACGGGAATAACTGTCAGCACGCAACGACCGTGCTTGATAACATGCACATCCACTTTTTTATTATTGATATTCTTATCAGTCATGCAAGTGTTGTAATTACAGTTGCATCTACGCGCGAAAGATTATTTTGATATATTGTTATAAATTAATCCGTTCGTGACGTCATATACATAGCCTCTTCAGTATCATTAAAAAAATACATTTTTTATGATAAATTACTTACCGTATCGTTGTTCTGCTATCGTCCGATGCCTCCTAGACCTCCTTCTCTTTTAAGCGATCCTTTGAGACACTCACACGCGTTCACGGCACTCGCGTTCGCGACACACGCGTTCACGGCACTCGCGTTCACGACACACGCGTTCACGACGCACGCATTGCTCGCGCGCGTACCCGAATGCGAAAATCGCGCGACATTTACACGACATTTCCGACGTCGTGAATTACGGCACTCCCGGCATTAACGACACTCCCGACGCGTATTTTATTATATTACGACGAACGAATATATTTCGTAGCACCGATTACGCGTACAAATTTATCTGTAAAATATAAATACATTTACATTACAATGATATCCGAAACAGAAATAAAAGACAGAAAAAATAAGAAATGAAAAAAGAATGTATGGCACAAAATTATTTCATATATTCCTTTTTTAAGAAAATTATAAAAATTACATGTTCAGAAATAACTTTAAATCAATTTACTAAAGCTTGGACTAAAGTTAGAACTTGGACTTTATTATCGCGTTTATCTATAACTCGTTGGCTCACGTAAGCTATTTAACGCGTACTTGATTTTCTTTGCGAGCGTATTTCATTAAAATTTACAGATTTACATTTAAAATCACAGATGAAAATTTTGCCAATAATATTTTCTCGGAAACTGTTTGATCGAGATTGATCGGCAGTATGTATTCGCCGATTTTTATATACCAACTTCTGTGCAATACCACAGATTTTTTATTTGTTAATTATTAAAGCAAAATTTAAAAAGCAGAATTCAGCAGGAAATTATTCCCTCCTGAAAATGACAAACTCATTGCTCGGCTAATTAGACATGTAACAAAGATAAAACCAACATGTCAAAAGAAAAATAATACTGATACTGATTGAATGAAAATATTTAACGTAGACACATTTGTCGATGATAGATACACAACAGTCGGTAAATGTGTACATCAGTTAATGTTTATGCCGTGAATGTACACGTTGATCAAACTCAGTATCGAAATTATCGGTGAAAACATTGTCAGCGGTATTTTTGTCAATGATTTTAACGTAATTCTTTTTTTAGCCTATCACAGGTCACCATTTTTTCGGGTTTGTATATATATATATGTATATAATGCATTTTAGATTGCATAATTTTTTGAAGCAAAGGTGAAATAATCTGTTTTTGCCTAAATTTTGAATTTAACGCGTCATAAATTTATTAATAAAAAACAATGTTTTCGCACAACAAACTTTAAGGAATAGAGCCGAGTTCCAATGTTTGGCTGTATTTTTATGTTAGCTTTTTATGTTATTTTATGTTAGTATTATAGAAAAACATATACATAGCTAATAATGTTATAAAAAATTATAATTTTATATAAAGCTGTTTTAATGAAAGACAGTGAAAATATTGATTTCGAGTTACATGGTTACAATACCAACACGCGCATTATTATGAACTAGCAGGTAGTGTTTACTGTCGTATTATTAGCTCGTATTGTCCGCAGACCACAGCATCCCAAAGAGACCATCGTTTGTATTCATTCTTGTGGTCATTAGATCGTAAATGCTACAAGATTATCCCGTCTCGGCGGGATACGTTGTCAACGCAGCATTGTTTCCTTCCTTTTCGATTGTGTGATTGTGTCGAATCATTTAAAAACATAGATTAAATTGTTTCACATTTTTATGTTATAGCACAAACAAATTTTATATATTATAAATATGATTCAGACAATATTTAATACAAATAAAAATTCTGTCATTATAAAATTGTGTAGCTTTGAAATTATAAATCGTAACATCTCAAAATGTGATAAATGTGACTCGGAATCTTTTCACGCACTCTATTTATTCACGGGAAATGCTGTTTAAATAACTTTCACACAAGTTCGCGTAAAAAGCGAAATCTACATGCAGCGATCCGTTCGTAGCTTTATAATCTAATTCGATGCGAGGCGCGAGAAGAAAATCACGGAATATCGCTTCGACG